GCTCAAGTTACAGGAAAGTAGAAATGAAAACACCTTTATTAGAATGTTAATATTACTGTATCTTCTTATTGTAATGTAAGTTTCTTTTGAAGAAATAATATTATGCTAGTTACCTATATTTCATCCATTGACTGCTTCTTAATTGTTATATTTTTACTGTAACCGCTTCCTCTGAAAATTAAACTATTCGCATAGCTTTACGGTTTCGATTTTCGGACAATGAAATCAGTGAAAAAAGGAAAAAAATATGCTAAAATATGCTATAAAATGGAATACATAGTACAAAGCACAAGACGTATCAAGTTTTTGATTTCATAAATACAGTTGATGTAAAACTGGATTATAAACTATGGGTACTGTTAAGAAGGAAAGCGTCTTATCAGGCAAGTTCACTGGTGCGCTGTCATAACTGGTGTTGACATCTCAGGTGATATCTCAGCTTTAGAGTTTGAATAGCCCTCCCTACTTATAAAATAACTAGACCGCCCGGCGGTCATACGAAATGACCACTGTTCTAGATATTATAAATTGTAATTAAAATGATTATTGCCAAAGTGTCCTGCTATTTAAAGCTAATTTCCCAGGGAGGGCGAGGACGCCCCCTTTGCTTACTGCCCCCCGGGGTCCCCCCTGCTTAATTGCTTACGGTAGATTGAAATGAAGGAAACCACTGGCGGTACATTTTTAAGAGCCACCGCTCGCTCATTAATAAGGTGATTTAATAATGAAATGTTATCACATGTCAAAATCTCTTGTTGTACACAACATTCTTGTGTGATCTTTACATCATTTTTCAGCTCGCCTTGCAGAGGACCATCCTTATTTTAATTTTACGTCCATTCTTTCACTATCTTAACAGGCAACATAAAAGTTACCGTGTTAAATGCAGGCTTTAGGTAAAATTACGCCAACATGTTCTTATGGATGTCATAGCAAGGCGAGTTTTTACCGGTATTGTCTAAGTCTCAATTGAAACGGAACTCTGTCCGTGGCAACTTCAGCCATTGGCTAGTTCAGTTACGCAAGCAACCAATAAACTATCGGCGACACAACACACTTAACCGCATATATATATTGGTGAAGTAAACATCATCCTTCCGAAAGGCTGGCTCCCGGTTTAGCGAAGCACACCGTTGGATTCTGCAGGTCCGCGCACGCCATTTTGCCATCGCGTCTTCTTGGGACTTTAAATTAGCCGAGAAATTAATTAAAATGATTTTCCTTTTAAAACGTTTTCCCTATTTTTATTTTCTACGGTTTTCCCTATTAGAGGGATTTGGCTACGTGCCAAATTGTTTTTTCTCGAATATCTGAGGAACGGCGGAGAGTTGAAATTCGAGACGCGTATCCTCGGATTCCAAAAATTTCTCCGAATCCATGGATACCATTCTCATCTTCGTACGACTTTAATCGGTTGAGATATTAATTAAAAACTGCGGAAACGTTAATTTTGGCTGCGCTCATTTTTCCGAGTGGCAACAATAAACTATCGGCGACACACACTTTAGCCGCTTATATATATAAAGAAGATACATTAGAGATGCCATATGTGTTTCCAGATTTAGTCTTATTATATTAGAAGTTTAAAATTATAGTTATACTTTGACTAAATGCATCAGATTGCTGTATTTGCTCGAATATAAAACGATTTATTTTCCTTTAAAATTCCATTTAAAAATCGCATTAGTCTTCTATAAAACCAGCCGAACATTTAAAAATTTATTAAACAATTTTTTCCCTTTTCAAATTTCTAATATTGAAGTAAACGCACTTTATGAAGTTTTCTCTTTGTTCTAACATTTAGGACATTTAATGTCAGTATATCCAGATCCGATATTTAATTCAATCATATAGATTGTGACAATAAAATTCTAGAATTGCTGCTGTTATTCTAGTAATATAAGCGATAAAAATCTGTTGTACATATCTCCGAAAATGCTTTCTCCCGAATCTTCTAGAAAGTCTCACCGCTGGCGAGAAATCACGAAACGCTGCGAATCTTAGTGGGCAAAAACTTTCCTGAAAATCCATCAGAAGCGTATTCGGTCATATCTTCTGTTCTACTTGAGTTATTTTTACAATTTAAACATAGCTGCACTCAGAATTAGAAAGTCTACTGTTCTATGCAAGAAACGAACACTTATGTATCAAACATGTGATCCCAAATTCAATTATATATAAAATAAACATTAAAATTAGTACTTTAAAACAACAAATCTATAATATAACGGGGTTATGACAGGTACCCATTCAACACCTTTAATAGTTTTAAATAGTTACTACTGATTGTACACTGTCATTCTGAGAATAGCTGTACGAGTGCTTCTATGCGAAACGTTGGAGAAAGTGTTCTTGGAAAAATAAGGTAAAGTGTTTATTTTTTGACTAATGGTTAATTTTGGTCATTTGACTAATGGTGACACTTTTCTGTCACTCTCTTTTCATGCCAGAACGTAAATGACATAAAGAACGTTAATTCTCATTGGGGGAGAAAGAAGTACTATTTAAGCGAAAGTTTCGCAAGTACTTTTTAGAGCGTGTTCTGCCTACTGGAGGCCACGTTGTTACCGTGACTTAAGATTTGATTTTGTGGTGTTTTGATAGAGTGCTTCTAGGCTTGTCTCGCTGTTTTTCTACAAACCAGAGCCTTTTCTGCGCGTTACTTTATCATGTGAGCCCGTTAGGCTAATTTTACTACATTTGATTTTAGTTCAACATTATTTATTTAAGTCATGCCAGAAGTGTTGACTTGTGTAAACTCAAGTTGGATCATTGTTACTTCTTTCTGTTCAAATAAAAAGGTCTTATACACCTTTCTTCTGACTTTTTCTTTTTGTATCTTAAGACTTAAATATAATTCTTCTACAGTCTTCAATCCATTATGAACCCGTCCGCACGTAACAATATTACATTAACAATCACATGGCTTTATAGTGGAAGTATGATTCCATCATAAAGTTATGAACAACAATTTAATCAAATTTCCTTTGATTAAAGTATGTTTGCCTACGGATTACATTTATTTTATCCTCCTATGGCTGTGGTCTCAAACTTGCGGCCCACAGGTTACGTTCGGCGAAGCAAAATTTATGCCGCTAAATTTAAGCCGAGAATACTTTCCAACTATTCGTTGTAAATACATTGTAAATAGGTTGCTGCAAAGATTCCAAAATTTTAGTTATTTGGTGGAATAATTTACAGAGAGATATAAATCTTCTTCAAAGATTTGAAGGTTTATTGCGGGGGAAAAAAAAAGGACAGTTCTATATCTCCCGTTCTACAGGGGCGATTTACGAAATTCAAATTGCGTTTTGTGTGTCTCGAAAGCGCGACTTGAGATATATATTAGATTTATATAAAGCATTACTCTAGGTATTTAACACAAAATCGGACTTTTCCTGATATAACGTAAAAAATATTTCTCCATATTTCGATTCCAGACTCAAATTACGCGTAAATATTAAATTTTGTGAATTTTATTGCGAAATTTTAGGAGAAATTTATCTTCACATTTTTTTCAGTTTTCGCCAAAAATAATTTACTTGGCGAATTTTTTTAATTTATAGCAACCTATTTTCCTTTCCTTTTTTACATTGTAGACGAGCAGAAAAAAAGTCAACGTTAACACTTTCAAATAATTTTAACAAAGTGTAAACCCCATTTGGCGTTATTATCGCTCAAACAAAACATGCCAGATTTCAAAACACGCCAGTATGTAAATTCAGGTATATCTTAGAAAATTCTAAATAAAAAACACTCATTTTTTGCAGGTATGCCTAGAAATACATCTACTTTAAGATTATGTTAAAAATTTTATAGGTTATAATAAAATGTTTTTCGAAAAATTTACAAAAACTATTTCAAAATAGAAATTTAAAAAATAAATCATAAAAATGGGAGAACTATATTTGGATAAAGCCTAAATTTCGAATTCTGGAAGCAGGAATCAATTAAGTTTAATAAAAAAAAGATATTCATATATATCAAATTCAATTAACATTGAGGAGGTAAAATTTTGAGAACTAATTTTTTTAGTGTATGTATGTGCGTTTGTCGCTTTGTGAAAAAGAACGGTACTTAGAGCCATCAAACTTTGAATAACGTAGTCGTTCACCCGGATAACTTTTGATTCTCGAACTTGTTTCAGTATTTACTATTTGATAATTGTATAACTTCAACGAATTTGTGATTAACAATCTCATCGATTTTAAAGCGAGCAATGACAACACTGTACGGAATAAAGCATTTTTATCTCCAGCGCACATCAATCGGGAATTCTAAAGATATGCTGTTTTTAATAATTTTGTGATTTTGCTGTCGAATTGAATTTTATGTGGTGCAAGCGCCAAGAATGTGATGTTTAATAAATAAAGTAGGCATACAGAACGTTAATAATCAAATGACGAAAAAAATGTTTTCTAAAGCCATCGCCGTAAAAAAACTAAATGTTGATATAATGAATTGAGAAAAGCAGAAAAATGTATGCCGAGACTTAACTTTGCATCGGGACTTCTAAACTTACACTGATATGTTGCTTTTATAATTTTTGTAATTTTGCTGTTGAATTGTAATTTTGCTGTTGAATTGTAAGTGTGAAGAAAACTTTGCTTAATACTACAGTTAAAAGACTCCCCCGCAAAAAAAAAAAGGTATCAGTATGAGTGATTGTGACAACAGGCTGGTGGATTGCGAACTTAGCGAGAGCGTGAGAAACCATAGCAAATCCTTTTAGTCAACAGTTAAAAATCTAAAACACTTCAGATTGTTTCTTTTTTGGAAGTAGGCTGTTTTGTAATAAAAACATAAAATCCTCGGCTAATAATCCACTAAAGTTATGAACATTTCTAAAATAAAATATCATTTTCTCGTTTCGACTGAAGTGCTAAAATTTGATGGCTTCGAATTTTCTAATGTTAAAAATACATTAATTACCAAATCTTAATTTTTATACCATTACTTAATTACTGATGTAAAATAAAAGAAAACATAACAAATTTGAATCAAGTGATCAGTGGATGTTTATTGACAGTGAAATATAAAATCTCTGTAAGTTCTCTAAATTTATGTACAAAGCGGAATGATGAGGCATGAGAAGGGATGACCATAGTTGGTGTAAGCTTCTCTTATCATCCGTGATGACATCCATGGTGTTGATGTTCGAGAACCTTGGCCAGGAGTCCAGCAGTCAGGAGAGCGCCAATACCTTGGTTTCCTCTTCCATGATTATGATTGCCGGCTTCGGCTTCTGGAACGAAAACTACTCCCAGAACGAGGGCGACGACCATTAAGATAAAGAAGAATTTGCCGAATTGCATTTTTGGTTGGTGGTAGAACCTGAAAGATAAAAAAGTTAAGTAAAAAGTTTTTCGCGTTGATGTCGAATTGTGCTAAAAATATCTGTAATAAAAAGCATTCAAATACTGAGTAATGTTTGTTCAAAGTTTTAAAAGCTGCAGTAGGCACCATCTAATTGTTTGTCCACGGCAGTTTTGGTAACATTAACCGAATGATGACATTAGACGATGAGAAAAAATACCCTTCAAAACAGATTTCCTTAAATAAATTTAACAGTTCAAGGGAAAGAAGAAATAATTACATATATAATTAACGGCAAAATTAAATAAATCATAAAAGAAATTTGGAGAAAAGATTAACAAAATAAACACGTATAAAATATTATTTTACAGCAGTGGTTCTCAACTTTTTGACTAACGCGTTCCATCTAAACAAAAATTGAAAAGCTTTAGTACCACCACTACAAAAGTACTACTACCACCACCATTCTTGAACAAAGCTCAGCTCGCATAAATTTACGAGTGTTAAAGAAAAAACTCAAATCAGGATGTTGGGGTTTTAATTTTTGAATTTAATAGTTAAAAAATACTTTGTTTCTGTGCGTACCATCAGTAGTACGCGTACCACCGGTTGAGAACCCCTCTTTTAGAGGAAACTTTCAATTATTATTCAATAGGTTCTATTTTATTTTTTAAAGTTTACCAAAGCTTATTATTTCTGCTTTATTTTGATAAACTAAAAACACAGTTATGAATTTTCCATATTCCTTAGATTAATGGATTAAGAAAAAAGTTGTTAATTTTAGCTTGATTTTTGAAAACGTTTTATAATAAGCATTTCTATATATCATCTTCATCTGGCCTGAGACGTTCTCATCAGAACAGAAGGAGTAATAACAAGAGATGTGATGTTTGCGAGGAAAAACGTATCCATAGTGCAAATATTTTAAGTTAAAATGAACTGAAATTTAAAATTGCACAGAAATAGTTTTTTCAAGTGTTTATATAAATTTGTTAAACAGGAAACAACATAACTAGAAACTCTGGGTAAGTACATAGTAAATGAGGTATATTGCAAAATTAGGTAATATTAAAATTAAATTAACTCAGATTTTTGTCTAAAATATTAGATTTATTAACAATAGTTATATTTACTTGACGTATAAGGTAAATATCCAAAGTACATGGTGGCTAGAATGTTCAGCTAATATCTATGTAAAACTCTTTTATCGTTATTGTGCATTTAATTACCATAATAAATAAATAAATAAATAAAAATGAAAATACTAACAAAAATCTGAAAGCTTTCAAATTTTACATTACGCGAAAAGGGGCGTTTTTTTTTTTTTTTTTTTTTTTTTTTTTTTTTTTTTTTTTTTTACGTTTTGTGTGTTAACTTTATTTATTAAATATCATGTTAGGGCTTCCAGATGCCCATATTCGGTGGAGGATTACATTATTCAAAATTTGATGGATCTATGTACCGTTGTTTGATAATAATGCGAGAAACATAAATACATTTATACAAATTCTTCTTTATTAATTTCTTTAAATACAACCCAAGGCGATAATATTTGGTGGTAACAATTTGAAAAGTGAAACGGACATTTGAAAATGGTCTAATGCCCTTTCAGCTAAAAACTAATTTGATTTACTATCCTGAAAAAAAAATCGAGTAAGATAGTTTTATGCTGGAAACAAATAAAAAGTGTTCAACGTATGTCTAATAGCTATGAAAAAAATTAAATTCAAACACTAAAACATTTCCGAGATAAATAAGTATAAGAGTTAAGTATGCTTATCAAAGATAAGATTACTTTTTACTTATTTTTTAAAGTAAACCTTATCCCATATAATTCTGCTTTATTATTCTGTAAGGTTCTACTGTGAATAGAAACTTGTGCTAAAGGTCTGTGGATAGGATTTATCACTTAGTCTGAAATAAATCGCAAAGCCTGAAGGAGGTTAAAATAACCTTTGTATTTAAGTCTTAAGTGAACAGAAAGAGCCTCTGTGACTAAAGAATATTTAAATGAATATAACGGAAATTTGAATTTCAAATGTAGGTGACGTAGTCAGAGACTACACATAAAATAAACTGCTTACGCTACCTCAGCTATTTGACGGCGCGTATTTTAAACACTGGTTAACAAGATGCTAAGGCCCAAATGCAGCATTGCCAGAGCTAGTTAGTAAGTAACGGAAAAATGTGGACCAGTAGCTCTAATCTAAACAGTGAAAATTCTCAGCTTATATAAACAAACAACTGGTTTGCTTCTGGTGAGGACTACGAAATAAAGACTTAGATAATAATTACTGGTAAACTAGCATAAGATACCTGATAAGATAACAATTGATAGTTGTGGATGAGATAACCATTAAATGGATAAAAATATTCGATAACATTAAATGTTTATCAATATACGATCTGTACTACCATTATCAAATAAAATAAAGTGAAGAGTTAGCAAGTAGTCACCGATTCGTGAAGTTAATCAAAAAGGATACAGTTCTGAACTATTTCCCTTTAAGTATAATTCTGCTGTAATCCACCCAACCAACTATCTGCCAAAGTTGGCAAAGATAACAATTGATAGTTGTGGATGAGATAACCATTAAATGGATAAAAATATTCGATAACATTAAATGTTTATCAATATACGATCTGTACTACCATTATCAAATAAAATAAAGTGAAGAGTTAGCAAGTAGTCACCGATTCATGAAGTTAATCAAAAAGGATACAGTTCTGAACTATTTCCCTTTAAGTATAATTCTGCTGTAATCCACCCAACCAACTATCAGTCAAAGTTGGCTGCTAGTTACAATTGCCACAGGTAATTGTTTATTAACTAATTTCCTATCGTCGAGTTCCTAGATAATGCGGGTATATTTGTAGCGATTTAAAATACACTTTAAGTAATAGGTCACGGTCTAATTACCCTTTGCGAGCACGATGCAGCTTTAAATAGGTAGGCGCATTTATGAAGCGTAACAACACCATCCGTTTATGAACGCATGGGTGGAATCTTTATTCATTTTTTGTGGAGAACAATCGTATTTTTTAAATTCTAGAAGTGCTTAAAATTTAATTGAGACTCACAAAACGAGTATAATTGGAATTACATCTCTCTGTGATGTGATTTCGTTTTAATTAAGTGCTCTATATTGGTTACAGCTTTGTGACTGCTACGTATTTCAACGCATGCAGTATTTTCCTTCTAAAGATTTATCGAGAAGTTATGTTGCTTCCTGCAATTCATAGCTAAAAAGTCAACTTTCGAAGACATTTTTATGGCCTACAATGAAATTTCTCACTTCTTGGTGATATTCTCGGAAAGACTATTCTTCCATGGAGATAAAGCCTTCGGGAGCCGGAAACTCTGGCGATGTACCATTCAGACCGATCAACAAGTTCAAAAGTCATTTTAAATTCAGTTCAAAAAGCTATGTATTCATATACACACTGATGCAGTTAAAAACAAATTATATGATAAGAAACGAATAAAGCCTAGAACAATTTAAAATTAAAATAAATAATTTTATGAAAAGGTTATTGAATTATATCATAATATTAATAAAGTTAATAAATTATATCATTAGTCCGGATGGGCTATTAGTCTCAACTAGGGCTTTGGCGGTGTATCACTTTAAATGTTAAATCACTTTTCAAATTGTGCCACGAAGTATTATCGCCCTATGTTACTTTTAAAGAAATTAATTAATGAATAATCTGGATGAATGCATGTATGTTTCTCGCACTTTTGAAAAACCGACGGTACCGGGGTCATCATATTTTGAACAATGTAGTCCTCCACCCGGACATGTGCATCTGGAAGCCAGAATTTTGAATTTCGAATTTTATATTTCATATTTTGTAAAACTTTAATGAATTTGAGCATCTTCAACAATTTGAAAGCGAACAGTGGCAGCACTATGCAGACTAAAATATTGTTATCTCCAGCGCTCGAGACTGTATATCGGAAAATCTAAAGATATGCTGTTTTTAAATATTTTGTGATTTTGCTATTCAACTGAAAGTTTTGTGGCGTACGTGCGAAGTATATGATATTTAATTAATAAATTTAACGTAGGAAAACCTTAACAAACCCTTTTGGGTGACCGATATTATCTGAGCTCTTTCAGAACTTTTTTTAGTTATAAATTGTACCATACTGTTTATATAGTTAAACTACGATGGCCCTGAGAGAAGAAGGAAAGACATTTTGTATACTTGAGTAAGATTTTTTATAAATACTGTTCTAAAACACCCGATGTTCTACGTAAATACTCATGCAATTACATTTGCAAAGGAAAGCAGAAATTATTGCATATGTTAATGAGGGAAATAATTCTGCTATATAAAATACATTGTTAAATATTATTAAAATCACAAAATTCATTTTTCGATCCGATATCTTCGCTTAAATAGTTCTACACAAAAACGATAATGACATGAAGTCAAATACCGATGCTGGATTAGAGGGCTTTGACCACGATAAAAGAATGTTGAAAGATAATAAAATGGGGGCTTCCGTTTCGCTTGGATGCATTTTTGTTGCTTGTTTAGCAGATACATTACGACAAAACTATAACGTAAACAGTTTTATAAAAGCAATATTTTAAAATCATTGTCTTTGCTTTCTGAAATAATATATATTAATACTTACCATAAATTGTAAATTTTAAATGTAGAGCACTAGTTAGACAGCTCAGTTTTACTTCATTTCAAGTAAAGATCTAAGTGATTTTTTTTTAAATTAGAATTTTCCTTAAAGTACATTTTCAAATAGTCACAAACTCAAAGAGTGATGTTTCTTCCTCTCACCGTACTTTTAATCAAAGGAATAAAAATTGCAACGCTTTCGAGAACTGCAATGACAATTCTGCAGAAGCAGAGCCAGATTTAGTCTTGATAAAACCCTAAGCTATTTGAGATATTGGGCCCCCTATAAGTCTCTTATATTTTAATACTATGGGGCCCTCAAGAAAGTGGGTTGCTATAGCTTGTGTAGCTTATACGCAAATCCGGCCTTGTGC